TACTTCGGACTGATGGAGGTGGAGAATTCAACTCAGGCGAGATGAACATGTTTTGTGAAGGAAAGGGAATTAATCATGAAGTCACAGCACCCTACACCCCACAGCACAATGGTTTAGCCGAAAGGAGAAATAGAACTCTAGTTGAGATGACAAGATGCTTGCTGAAAGGAAAGAATCTACCACACAATCTCTGGGGAGAAGTTGTTGTTACAGCAGCCTACTTGTTGAATAGGTGCCCAACCACGACTTTGATAGACTCTACTCTTGAAGAGGCATGGACTGGAGTCAAGCCATCAATAAAACATCTGAGAATATTTGGATCAATCTGTCATAAGCACATTCCAGATGAGAAGAGAAGAAAATTAGAAGACAAGAGTGAAGCTTTAATACTAGTTGGATATCACAACACAGGTGCCTACAGGATGTACAACCCGAGAAAAAAGGTGATTGTAATAAGTAGAGATGTTATTGTTGATGAATCAGCAATCTATAATTGGCAGGAATTGGAATCAACTTCAAGTTCTAACAGAATAGTTCCCAGCTGGTTAGAAGATAGGAGACCTGAGGCTGGTGATCAGATGGCTACAAATGAAGAAGTTGACAACATCAGGAAATCACAACGTACCAGATTTCCTTCCACAAGACTAATGAATCATGAGGTCTATACTGATAGAGAGATTACAGAAACAGGTGAGATTTTCCATGATGCCTTTCTTGTTGATACAAAGATACTTTCTTGGGAACAAGCTATCAGAGAAGAGAAATGGAAGGAAGCTATGGTAGAAGAATTAAAGGCAATTGAGAAGAACGACACATGGACGATGACAGAACTGCCTAGACACAAGCATCCGATAGAAGTCAAATGGGTATTCAAAACTAAACTAAAACCAGATGGAGGCATATCCAAGCTAAAAGCGAGATTAGTTGCAAAAGGCTTTCTCCAAAAGCCTGGAGTGGATTTTACAGACGTATTTGCACCAGTAGCAAGGTTAGAGACCGTAAGGCTTGTGGTAGCCATAGCAAATGCAAAAGGCTGGGAAATCAGTCAGATGGACGTGAAGTTAGCCTTCTTAAATGGCCCGTTGGAAGAGGAAGTATATGTGACACAGCCTCCTAGATTTGTCAAAAAGGGTGAAGAAGCTAAAGTGTTCAAACTCAACAAGGCGTTATATGGGCTAAGACAAGCACCACGAGCCTGGAACACACACATTAATTCCTGGCTAATAAAGAATGGATTCAAGAAATGCAGGGTTGAGTTTGGAGTCTACTCAAAACAGGTTAGTAACAATGGCATTGTGTTAATCTGTTTGTATGTAGATGATCTATTAATAACAGGTACTAATGAAGAAGAAATCAATGAGTTCAAAGCAAGGATGAAAGAAGACTTTGAGATGACTGATCTCGGAAGTCTAGGTTATTTTCTTGGGCTAGAATTCTCACGTGTAGATGGTGGAATCCTGGTGCATCAAAAGAAGTATGTAAGTGATATTTTGAAGCGGTTTGGCATGGAGAATTGCAACAGCACATGTACACCCATAATGGCCAACACAAAACTGTCATTGCAAGCAGAGGATGAAAGAGTTGACGCAACCTTGTATAAGCAGATCGTGGGCTCACTCAGGTATGTATGCAACAGTAGACCTGATATTTCTTACGGTGTTGGATTGATTAGCAGGTATATGGGAGATCCGAGACAATCACATCTGAGTGCTGCCAAACACATATTAAGATACCTAAAGGGAACAACAGATTATGGTCTATTTTATCCAAAGAAACACAATGAAATGAATGAAGTTCTGGAAGCATGGAGTGACTCTGATTGGTCTGGAGATCAGCTTGACAGAAAAAGCACTTTCGGATATGTACTCAAGTTCATGGAGGCTACATTTAGTTGGTGCTCGAAGAAGCAAAACATTGTTGCACTGTCTTCATGCGAGGCCGAATATGTGGCTGCTTCAGAAACCGCATGTCAGTGTGCTTGGATTGAAGCGATGCTTGATGAAGTGATGATCAACTATTGCAAACCAGTGAAGCTCATGATAGACAACAAATCTTCAATCAGCCTTGCCAGAAATCCTGTGGCACATGGACGCAGCAAACACATAGAAACACGGTATCACTACTTGAGAGAGCAAGTTGATAAGAAGAAACTTGATCTTCTACATTGCCCAACTGAGGATCAAGCTGCTGATATTTTTACCAAAGCACTTCGCCAAAACAGATTTCAGAAATTGAGAGAACACCTTGGAATTAGATCTTTCAACAGTTTCACTTTAGGAGGGGTGTGTTGAGTAGTTTAAATTGCAACTGTAATAACGGTCATGTAGATTTGACCAATTCCACTTTGTCTTTTACATATATACCAGACTGTACCATTCTCACTTAAGTTTTTAATGAAATACAGTTTCTTCACTTTCAAATTCATACGCTCATTCCTTCTACCATAACTCTGTATTCTCACACACATTGCTATTAGCAGTCAGAGACTAACAATCTATCTTTATTCTTTCATGCTTCATCTCTCTTTTTCCAAAACAATAAACACCAAGTAATTTCCGACATTAGTTATGGTGGTTTCCGAGAACAAATCGAACCAAAATATATGTATACCAATAACATAATGTGGTCCAGGGCCACCACATTTTTTATACATAAACTGGGAATTTCATTGATTAAGTTAATTAAACTAAACATGGCTACCATATCTTCATTACACCTCCTTAATAATAGTAATAATAAAGGAACTATGTGACAAATTACAGAGGGAGAGAAAGAGAAAAAATACTACATGCATATCCTGATATCCATTCATTCCCTTCCCAAATTTACACAAGATCATCGTCAACATCATCATCGTCATCCTAGCTAGCTAGCTGGCTACCCGGCCCGATTGATTAACCCGCGAGAGGGGCAAAAAGGGGGAAAGTGAAAATTTTTCTGAGAATCTGAATTTTTTGGCTCACATCACTTTCCACGACTCCAGAGTGGGAAAGGAGGAGAAGGTGTCAAAATCTAAGCCTGCGGAACCGAAGGAGGCAGCATGAGAATCTATGGCTGCGAGGGGCGGGGCGAAAGGGAGTTGTCCGGGCCCAGAAAGCCCTGTGGCAGGCCCGGATCCTGCCGAGGTGGGTCCCACCACCTGCGGATGATGGTCCAACAGGAACACCGAGGTGTCCAGTGTCGGCAGACAACCTGCGCCGCCGGAAAACCTCGCCAGGTTCCCCGCCGAATCTGACGCCGGTGACCTGCTGCACCATTTGGCGGAATCTGAAGCAAACTTGTAACTCACTCTTTCTTTCTCTCTCATGCACAGCATAATGGAAAAGATAATAGTAGTTTGATGTTGCAGGCTACCAACTTTACTTTTATTTCTTGGATGAAACACGCTGCTGGAAGATGGAGGGAGGGAAGAAGTTAAGCGTGAAGATTAAAATAAGGAGACATGGACTCAGTATAAAAAAAAATTACGTGGCCACATAAGCTGTTTTTATGTTAGTATTGGATGACCAAGGTTTTTTAAGAAGAAGAACTAGAATGTAATTTACTTTTATTTAAAAGAGAGATCAAAAATAAATTTATAACTAAAAACATATTTAATACCTTTTATTTCATATAAAAATAGAAAATATGAATCAAACTATAAAGACTCCGTAGAAAAAGAAGAGCTGAGACTTTAATTGCATCACAAAAAAAGTTGTGTACGTTTATAAAAATATAAGAAAAATAAATTAGAAAATATAGATAAATATTCTTTAAATGAATAAGATAATAACAATATAAATATAATTGAAAACAACAATGTCTCGTAAAAGATTAAACAGAACGATCTTATTATCTATTCAAAAAGAAATATTAAATAAAATTAATTACAATAATTTAATAAATAATTTTGCATCATAAAAAATTCTAAAAAAATAAAGTAAAATTATGATATATTTTAGCATAAGTTATTTTATTAGTAAATGAAAATATTTTATTCTTACTGTCTCATTTAGAACTATTACTAACTTGTATTGGAGTGTGTTTATAGGCACTCACAACTTTTTCAGACAAGCAAAGAAGAAACAGAGACATGGAGTATCTTGGCAAAAGATGTTAGATAAATTTAGAATGGGCCATGCAATTGAATGGAAAGCACACCATCGAAAGTAGCCACAAAGTAGTTTGTTTGTAAGTGAAAATAAGAGCACCACTAAACCAACCACTCACTACTAGTATTTGGACTTTAGTGCTTTTCTCGATGATATATTGAGATCATGTGAATGTAGAAGTGTGGCACACTTGCAAGTGTGTGCACCATGAAGAAAGGGAGAAGGGGTACACACACCCGGTGGAGCAAAGATAAAATTGAGTGTGTGGGAAAGAGAAGAACCACCGTGGAGAGGAAAGAAGAATAGAATTGTGTATTGTGAGTGAACAAAAGGAGAGTACATACTATTATGAATCCAAATTTGAGTTCAAGTTCCACATTTGATATAAATGAGAAAGTAGAGCAAGGTGAAAGACTCATTAATCCATTGTCTTTAAAGCTTTGTTCACTTGAATGGATTTAGGGGAGAGTGATTGGATGAATTTGAAGGTAATTTTTTGTTGTTGTTTATTTGAGTAGATTTGGAAGTAAGTGAGAGTGGTTTTGGAAGTAAAGTTTGTAAGAATTAGTGTAAGATTTGATTGATATGACAGATTAAAAAAATTTACTTTCAAATCCAATCATTAGTGGTTTTCACACAATTTAAGATCATCAATAAAGAGTATGTTTCCCAAATACTACAAAAGATATCCAAAGGACGAGAAGATTGGGTTTTGTGGAGTCTCTTTGATCTCCACCATAACACATTGTATTTCTAGCTTCCGATCATAACAAAAGGACTTATTAAATTACTAGGGAAAGCATTGTTAATCGACTAATACATAGCAACAGTTTTATTTGACGCTTGAAACTCCATTATAATCTAACTAATATAGTTTGCCCAAAGTGCAGCTGGAGTCACTGAATTAGAAAAGAGTAACTCATAGATGATGCTTAAAAAGCCTTCCATGGTGAAGCAGGAGGCAAGGTTCCATAGAGGAAGGAAGTGATGAAGGTGAGAGCCCGTTCTGGTTGCCAGCTCGGAACCAAATGTCCTGCTCCTCTAACTGTAACAAATGTAATTCCTTCGTATTTCACCACATACCCTCCAACCTGTGATTATCAGAAGTTGGTCAAGTTTAAGAATCATAAACAAGTACTAATTGACCTTGAAGAGAACTCAGCAATTCAGTATCAGATCATAAACTTGATGGCACAATTGGATTTTTGATCAAGGTTTTAAATGCAGCTCAGTTTAGTACCTCTTGTTCAGAATACCATGGACGCCAAGGAACCTGGATAGGTAGCTTGAGGGTGTTGATTGAATATCTGGAAGATGTGACTGGCACCCTTGCATCAGTATCACCACTGTAGCAGAACAAATCATCTAAATTAAGTACTTGGGATACTTCAACAAAAGGGAAAACTTCAAGTGAAGGAATTAGCTGAATTCAAAAACATGGCTATGGGTAGGTAGTGAAGCTTTGTCATTGCAAATAGATTCTCAAACTTGTAGTGCATATGCTGAAAGTGAAACTGAACTTGCCTGTATATCCACAATCCAATGCCACTATCGATGAGATACTTTATTATTGGCAGGATGGTAGTGGGACTGTCGTTCCAGCTTAATTGATCACTACAAACATGTTTCAGTATATGTTTGGTTAGCAATGAGCATGGAGTAGTAGTAGTAGTTTTGATATGAGAAGATGAATTTTATATTCATTTCTTGTTTGATACAAAAGTGTTCCATTTTTACATTATTTCCTGTTATTAAATTTATTTTATGCCACAGATATCTTCCAACACACTCGATCAGACACTAAAATCCAATGCCACTAATTTCATTTAGCTGCTTTCATTATTTGAAAGGAAACAGTAAAAGTAAGGTGATATGATAATTGGTAACTATAGAAAAAGTGAAATAAGAATCATTCTTCCAAACCAAATAGGAGTGTAACTAATATTTTGGGATCTTCCAAGTTATTGTAGATTACCTGCAGTGGGTCCAGTTTGTGGGTTTCGCATGAAGAGCTAGTTGGACTTCTGGCCTATTTAGGTAGGCTTCCCCGTAATAATCAGAACAAGGGTCGAAATCATATACCTGAAATGAAGTGTCAGAGGGCATTAAAAGTTACATGGAAAATCCATCCTTAAATTTTTTTTGTCATACTAGTTGAAATTATTGAACTAAATAAGATCTTTCTGGTAATGTCCATGCTGTTGCATAATTTCTGTTCATTGTAAACTTTTTACATACCATGTTTCACTGGTGTTATACAACATAAGAATAGAATAAAAGAGATGTGGAAGACTGTCATATGACAGAGGACAGCACATGCGATTTTTATAATCTGCTCGTTTTGGTTCAAAAATTGGTGTTACTACTGACATAAATGAACTTCATATGTTTGTACAATTCTGAATTACTTTGCACTATCCAAGCAACAATACGTAGGAGTATATTACTTACAGAGCCTGTTGATCCATTTTTGATAGAAGAGTCAAGACACAATGGAGCATAGATGTTATAGAAGTCTATCTTTCCTTTTTCAATAAGGGCAGTTCTTGTTGCATTGGCACATATTGCTGAGTCATTTTCAGCAGTGAAATCGCAGTACTTCTCAATCAACTCATGTGTTTGATCTGAGCTCAAAGCATGAGTCCATAAGTAGTCAAATATCCCCTTCACACTTGTAACATCATCAATCCAAGCATTCCCAATCTGAAATTTGCAGTACAAATCAAGTAGTTAGAAAAAGGATGGCAAGTGATTATGTTATTTGCAGCAGTAGTGTTTTGAACATACAGCAATGGCTCTGAGGTTAATACTTTGGGGACTGTATTTATTGTTGAGCAAAATAGTATATGCAAGCTGAGGCACATAATGGCCAGCATAGCTCTCCCCAGTTATGTAGAAATCACGAGTTTTGTACTGTGGAAACCTTTCTAGCCAATTGATGAGAAAAACATAGGCATCATTAGCAGTAGATTTATCTCCTGCATTATCATAGTCTGAAGTAGTGTTTGAGTAGGAAAAGCCCACTCCAGCTGGGGATTCCAAGAACAACACATTTGCCACTGCATAATGCACCATTATTGTGTGTTAAGTTATTCATGTCTCTCAACTCCATCACAAAGGTTTGAGTATACCAAAAAGCAGTTATTTTGATGACTGTCTCACCTTCATTCCAAGCATCTTTGTTACGATAGAGTGTTTTTCCATCAGAGTTTATTCTGAAAGGTCCCAATTCCTCAAAGGCGCCATACCCCAATGAGGAGCAACCAGGTCCTGTGAGTTTCAAACACTATGATTTCAGACTGAGTCAAATGATATTCTCTCGTTATCTGACTCATAATGTTCTAGTTTATGTAAAAATTATGTCTGCAAAGTTTAGAGGACGGTGATAATAAACTCAAACTCATTATCTTAAATATTAGGTTGTGAAGGTAATGTCATGGATTTTCATATGATTTTGCTCGTAACTTACATAGTTTACATCCTAAAACTAAACAAATTACCACTATTTCCTTTTTGCCTTAAAAAATTAGCAAACGCAGGTAAAAGAGTGAAAACAGAAGACACACAAAAAGAGCGTAAGCTATATCAGCATGTATGAAGCAATTTGAGTTATTTTTTACCTCCATTTAACCACAATACTAATGGTTTAGTTGAAGGGTTATATGGAGACTCCACAAAATAATAGAAAAGTGCTCTTCCAGCCTCTGGATCAACAGTGACATAGCCTGAATATTGATCAAAATTTACCCCATATGGCTGGCCAGGCAATGCAACAATCTTATCAGCTTGTTGAAGTCCCTCTTGGGGTGCAACATAAGCAGAAGAATGAGTTTTCAATGCATCTTCCTCTGCCCAAGAAAGAGTCACAGGAGGCTTCTGTGAGCTCCTAGACAGAATCAACTCATCAAGTTTATCAGCTTGATTGGCTTTGCTATGAGGAAGAAGAACCAAGAAACTCAAATTGAGTAAACAAGCATAAAGAGAAAGCTTCTTCATTTTGTTCACAACAACCAGGTTACTTGGTTTCTGTATCCTAAGTTCTTGTGTATTTTTATAGACCATAATGAGTGGCAAAAAATGCAGAACTGTTATCTTATGCTTGGAAGCATGTGAAAGAAAGAATAGAAAGATAACAACTACACTACTCTTGATCATGCATAGATCAGCCGGCTGATTTATTTAGTTACTAACTTTGTTACTAACTTTGTTACTAACTTTGTTACTAACTTTGAACATTTCTGTGTTATTTGTTCCTCTAACTTTTTCTTACATTGATGCATGTACTTGTACTTAAGTTTCATACTAATCACATTACTCTGTGAGTTAAGCGTCTGTGGTTGTTTCATGACTGCTTTTATGTGCACATCTTTGAAGCTTGACACGGCAATTGTCCAAAACATAGGACAGCGGGGTCGAAACTATATAATGTATAAAATAATCTCAAAACAAGAACATGAATTTTTAATTTAAGAAAGATATGTATTCATCTTCTCAAAACATTGTTACGTTTTCTTTCTTAAGTGTAATAAAATAAAAGTTTCAGCAAAAATGGTAGCGATTAACAAAAATATTTTAACATATTTCTTAATATTGTCTTGTATTTAGGTTTAAATGTACTTCTGTTTCTCCTTTTGGTGGAAATTAGTTTATGAATTTAATTTAAGTAAACGGATATGATTTGTGAGGTTTTTATTTATTTTGATTAAGGTTTTTCGATTTAGATGATGAGAAAAAAGAAAAGCTATACGGAATAATTTATTTCTCCATGTAATTTATTGCTGAAAAGATTAAATTTATCCTTTATAAATATTCAACGTTTCTTTTATATAAAGTTTAAATTATATCATGTTTAAATATTTTTAATCATATGTTTAGAGAAAATTCCGCTGGGAAAGGACATTATATCAACTTTGAAAATGTAATAGAGAAATTAATGCGAAGTAAATATTTGAAAACAGTCAATTGAAAGCAGTAAAACTAACTCAAAAGTAAATGTACACAAACATTAATTCAAACAAAATGCAAAAATAGACAATTTAAAAGCTAGATGTAAACAATTGTAAATAAAAAAGAAAAATAGAATAGTTACTTATTTTTACATGGTCAATATGTGTCATGGTTAATAAAAGTAAACTTGTTATGCCTCACCTTGATTTTATGCTTTGTGGTGATAGTTTAGAAAGATATCAAATGATCACCATAAAAAACAACCTTTTTATATCGGTTAAAATAAGTTTTTTATACCGATTTTCGAATAGGTATAAAAGCAAGGGTATAGAAAATATTCGATTTTTTATATCAGTTTTAGATCAAATATAAAAAGTCTCACTTTTATATAGAGGTGTCAATTTGACCCATGACCCCGGGGCTAGTCCTAATCCACTCTTGAAAAAGCTCCCTCTTAAGAAGCCCCTCAAATGGGGGCCAAAAAAAAGTACTAAATTTTATATTCATGTAATTGATTTCTTATTTCAAATTATTAAATAAAACTAATTAATTATAGTATAATAGAATATTTAATATTCAAAATAACTACTTTTTTAAATAATTAAAAACTATTGCAAACCACACACTTAATTTTATACAACTAAATAGTATTACAAATTTATTTTACTGAAATATTATAAAAATGCTTTATTTTGTTGTCAATTTTAATTAAATTATGTCTTATGTTGCAAACACCAATTATTAGAAAATTATATATAATTAGTAATATCAAAATAACCCCAAAGAGAGATAATAACATATTAATTTGATTTAATATTTGCACTGCTTTTACAGTTCTTAAAAGAAATCATTGTTTTGTTTACTCGACTTCTAAAATATCACTCAATCTGCTTTTAATTATTTAAAATTAAAATAATTCAAAAATTTATTATCTAAATTTTTTTGATCAAAAATAGTATTAATATTTTATGTGTAAATTAAACTTATGTTTTATTTTGTTTTTTTCTCTCTGATAATCTTTTCTCAAAATCACCATAAGATATATTATAAAAAGAAAGTTAATTTCTTAAAAATTTATAAAAAAAATGAAAATTTTAAATAGACCTAAAGTACTAAAGAATGACAAATGTTATAGTGTTTCAATTCTTTAACTAACACATTAAATAATTTATTTTTAACTTTCAATTAGAACACATAACATAAATGTATGTTTATGTTTATATTTATGTTTATGACATTTAAAATGTAAACATTTTGAGTGAGTAGTACGACGAGATTGAATTCTATGGGCGAATACAACTTCAGTCTGCACAAGGTTTATGAGTTTTTTCTTTTTATTTATTATGAACATGATTTGTTGAGTATAAAATGAAAAAGAAAATCATTTATATTTAATTTCTTTTTCAATAACTTTCTAAGAAAATAAAGAAGCCTATTTTTTTAAATTAAGAGCTTCAATTAGAGAAAATCTTCTCTTAAATTTCAATTAGGATAATTTTAGATAAAAAGTTAATTTCTTACTTATAACTTAAAAAAAAGTGAAATTAAATATTTAAATTTCAAATTTATAAAATGATCCTTTAATTATATACTTAGAGAATCTAACTCAATAAATATTGTCATTTTGCTTTTGCTTCTTGATTTTAGAACTCTCCTTTTATAAAAATTTCAATTTATTTTTTATAGTAACTATTTTTGTAACAAATTAGGAGTTAATTATATTTTTTCTTGTATTCAAAATGAACATTTTTTCTAAAAAAAAAGGCCCATGGGTTGGCCTTGGCCCACAGGGCTTTTGAAGATATTTTGGCCCCGTGGGTTTTTTCTACGAGGAGCTTTTTGGCCCTGTGGATTTTTTTTGGCCCCAACCCACGTGGGTTAGGGCCAAACCATGTAAGGATGGCCAAATTGACAGGTCTACTTTTATACTTGTTATTTCCAAAACAGGTATAAAAAATCTATTATAAACAGTCAAATCGTTGAAGAAAGTATTGAAGAAGACATCACCAAATTTATTATTAATTTGTTCCTTATCATACATAACCCTTACAACTTTATAAAGCACACAAATTCTATATAGAATAAGCTTTATATAGACTACTAAGAGCCTCAAAACTATAAAACCTATAAACTGTCTAACAAAAGTTATTGAAATTGTTAATAACAGGTAAAACTAAATACGAACGGTCCAGACTAGCTAAAGCAAGATTACAAGACTAATAGAAATTAGGTAAAATTGGTAAGCTCTTTTTCCTAAATGGTTAGTGTAGGTCAAATTAATTTTCAAGTTATATCCAATGGAATCCTTCACTGCCTATTCCAGATTACCCAATCAACTTAGACTAGTTCCAAATTACATCTTCAGCTTAGTCTAACTTATTTTGCAAGTTACCAATGTGATGCACATTCAAGTACAATTGTTCTCGTTCAAGGCTTTTCAAGCAAGCTTCCTTTATCAATATTTATAATTGGATCTAATGCTTCATTGCATACTGATACGCTGTCATTGAAGCTATCAAATTAATACTACTTTTCAAGGCAACTTCAGTATTGCCAAGTAGTATCCAAGAAAGTAGATAGGGCTAAAGTAACCTTGAGTCGTCTCCCAACGAACACGGAATTGCTTTTGAATATATGACTCTTACGAATGCTATGCAATGCTTATGGATAAAAGTAATGTTTGGAGAATGTTTAAAGAACAAATAAGAAACTTAAAAACAGTTACGATGAAATAGGCTAATTCCACTACTTTTCCAAGATATATTTATCATCGGTTATTCACGGATAATTGTTCAATTGATTATTGTTTAAGTTTCAAATTAATTAAAGTACATTTTTAATTAATTTGAGGGCGATCATGCATTTAACCAAAGTAAATTCTCAATCAAATGCAAAACCTTTCTAGATTATTCATAATAAATTCAACCAAAGTACATTCTCAATCAAATTCTATTGTGTTTAATCATGTTTATTCTTAAATCTCCTAACCAAGTTAAAAATTAATCAATCAAAGTAAATTCTCAATTGATTATAGTTGAAATTATTACTACCAACCAAAGTACATTCTCAATTGATAGTAAAAACCATTTAATCATATGAAAGTTCCTAAATTAAATCAAAGTAAATTCTCAATTAAACCTAGAAATCCTAGAACTCATATAATCAATATGCATGTAGATTCAAACACATTATGATGCAACAATCTTTACTTTTAACAAGATATAGAGATGAAAGACATATAGAGAGAACAACTTAAATCAATAATCAAAATAAACAATTGCATTAACTTAACGTAACCTCAGAATCCATCAGGGAATTACAGCAGAATAGTTCTAGATGCTTAGCTCTCCATGAATGGAGTTGAATACAAGATGAAAGAAAAGTGAGAGGAGTATCAAAGAATTGAATGAAGTCAAGTGAAGTCCTTTTCTTCCTCCCGTAGGTCTCTTTATATAGGGCTTGATTGGGCTTGGACTCTGTATTCAGTTGACAAAATCTTTTATCTTATATCTTCCAAATAACTAAAAGATTTAGATAATTATAACATTATTTGGAAGATATTTTCTGTTGATATTCCCAAATTAAATTAATTCAACAACTGAATTTTATCTTTTAGCTTTTCTGAATTTCCAAAATTACACATAAACCCTGAAATTTCTTCTATCTGCACTTTATCCCCTTCAAAATTTCTCCAAAATTGCATCAAAAGCCCCTGTTGACCAGCTTTGACCAGAGAGGTCGCGCCCAATGGGAGCTCGCCACGTGGCTGCCCTCTTCCTTCCCCAATTAGGGTTTCAGATTGGGGAAAGGCTTCCCCCTCCACTTCTACCGCGAATCTGATGCAGGTCTGGTGACAAGGTGGATGACTCTCGTTGATGATGGAGGCGCGACATTGGCGATGCGGCATTGGTGCGAGGAAGATGGTGGGCGCGAATGGAGATGATGCTGGAAGCTTAACAACGACACGATTCTGGGTGATTGGGTTTCTGTGTGTTTTCTCTGGCAGGGTCGGCGATGCGAAGAAGATGACGGTGGCTGTGGAAGAAGGT